TGACGAAGGTGAGCTTTTAAATTGCCTGTTCCAGTTGATAATTCGTAGTCATTACCACATTCTTTTTCCAAACCATCCTTATCTGTGACTATAACTTTGCAATATATTTTTTTTTTCAATTTTATTTCGCTTAAAATAAGTCCATACCCAACTTTCTCTCGGATTCGGTCTTTTGGAATGGGTAAAAGTTTTTTTTTTTTTTCGAACTCTTTTACCTAAACTATTAGTAACAGTAACTCCACTTGACGGAAGTTGATCAGGAGAACTCGAACCTGATTCAGCATCTAGGTTATGTACATCTTCTGGTATATTAGATGTATTTAATTCGTTTAACTCGTTTGATTCATTTAATTCATCTTCATTAGCCCAACTTAAAGAATCACTGTTGTAAGAACTAAGCTGATGAGAATCGTGTGTTGACATTACTAGTACGATTTATATTTAAACAGTAGGTGTATTGAAGTTTTAAGGTTTTTCTTTTATTTATATATAGTTTTTACTGTTTATATTGCATTACTTATTTTCTTTTTTTTAAAATAAATGTAATTTCGTTATTCAAATTTGAACTAGAGATAAAATTTCAACAATAGAATTATGCATGTAATTGTTATTCTTTTGGAGAATTATGTGCATAATATGGGTTTTATCGTGTTTTAATCAATTTCATACATTTTGATCTATCATTGATAACTCGCGTCTAATGATTCAATCTTGATAATTTTGATAAATTCGAAGCCTTTCACTGAGAGGATTGAATGATATCAAATCATCAAGATTGAATCACTAGATCGAGAGTTATCAATGATAGATCAAAATGTATGAAATTGATTGAACCACGAATTTGGTCAACAAAACCCATAGCAGTTTGGCTATGAAGGTTATTTTTTCGAGACCTAATTAACAAGTGCGCCAGGGCGACCGCCAAAAGTACGGGCACATGATAAGACGCCACATCCATATATGAAAATTTCGCAGCGATAAAGCTGCATGCAGGAGCTAGACGATTCAATAATTTTCTATGATGTGGCGTCTTATCATGTGCCCATAGTTCTGGTGGTCGCCCTGGCGCACTCCTAATTAACCTTCGTCAAAGAATAACTATTGTGCATATTGTATGCATCTGCTAAATGAATAAGAAAAGCTGGTTCATATTCTACTAACAATAGCATCGAATTCAAACAATAGCAGTGCATACATTTTTGTATAAACATATCCATTTATTAGTATTTATGAGTTCATATTGTATCAACCTTAGCCTTATAGATATGTCCAAATTATATCTGAAAAAAAAGTATTTTAGTAGGTATTCCGGAATTGATTGTATTTTGATGAAAAAAACCAAATAATTTCGGAAGTATGAAAAGTAAGTAATTCGGCAATTATGAAAGACTAATTCTAGCTGCGTTATAATCATTTTATTAAGATGGATAATTCAGGCACATATGTATATTTAGCCTAAAAATTCGGTAAAAAAAATCTGTG